GAGAATGGGACTAGGGGGTCACCCTGGGCTGGGCAAGGGGGGCGAGGCTGGATGGTGGAGGGAGGGAAGGAACAGAAGTAACGCGGGGTTTACGCTTTGGGACTGGATTCTATGCCCCCAGGATCCCCATTGCCGTGGGGACAGGCCGGGCTAGGGGAATAGTGAAGTCTGGAGGGAATTTTTACAATGTCTTTTTTTTTTTTTTTTTTTTTTTTTTTGTCTCCGTGAATCTGGGGTGGTTTGTTTGGGGCTTCACGCCCCTCCCCTCCTTAGTGTATTTTTTTCTTCCCCTGTTTTGCACTGTGGTGCTGACATTAGGTGCTCGGGGATGGTTATCCCTTTCCTTATTGCTGCCCTCGGGACACACGGTCACTGGCAGGCTCCGGGGTTCCCCCGAGCGCGGAAAGCAGAGGCAGGCCCGGGGGAGGCAACCTACCCTGGCTGGGGACAGCCGGCGCTGGGGAGGCGATTCCTCGGAAAGCAAAATGTAATTAAAAGGAAGAGCCCAGCCATGATATGAATCACCCAGCGGCAGAGGGGTACCGTCCCAGCGGCGTCTCTCCTTTGCCACCTCCGTGGCCCCGGGAAAGCCCATTTCTCCCCCAACCTTCGCCCCGCTCCCGGCACAGAGAGCAACAGGAGGAAGTGCAAAGATAAAGGGCAATAATAATAACAACAACAATACTACTACTAATAATATAGTCATGATGATGAAAACAACAATAAAAAAAAATTAAGAAAGGGAGAAAAAGAGCTTGCCTTGCAAAATTGGCAGGAGCATCTTCCCAATTCCTCTCCGAAGCTGGAGGAACCAGGACAGCTGGAGGAGCCCTTACGTTTGGGGTAATTTTCCCCAGATCTCGGGGCAACAGTGGGAGGGAAACCTAGGACAGTTGCCGGGGGCCATGAAGCCGCCAGCTTCGGCCTCGCCTGCTGCTCTGCGGGTCTGCAGGGAGGAAGAAACGGTCATTTTCGATATGTTTGGCGGGGGTGAAAAACACACAAAAAAAATTAAAACAAAACCAAAACCAAAACCAAAAACCACACACACAAAAAAAACCCACCACAAAAAACCCCAAACCAGCTCACCAACCAAAAAAGCCCCACCAAAACAAAAGAAACACCCCAAAACAAAACAAAACAAAAAAAAAGGACGCTGCAGCATAGGGTATTCTCCCATCTTTCCCCCGTTGCTGTTCTCCAGCACCGACTCCCCGTCAAAAAAAACAACGAACAAAATAAAGAAAAAAAAAAGAGAACTACATTTGAAATATTTTTCTCCTGATTTTGCTGCACGCAAAAAAAAAAAATCAAAAAACGAATTACATGAAATGGGAAAAAGGAAAGGAAAGGAAAGGAAAGGAAAGGAAAGGAAAGGAAAGGAAAGGAAAGGAAAGGAAAGGAAAGGCAAGGAAAGGAAAGGAAAGGAAAGGAAAGGAAAGGAAAGGAAAGGAAAGGAAAGGAAAGGAAAGGAAAGAAAAGGAAAGGAAAGGAAAGGAAAGGAAAGGAAAGGAAAGGAAAGGAAAGGAAAGGAAAGGAAAGGAAAGGAAAGGAAAGGAAAGGAAAGGAAAGGAAAGGAAAGGAAAAAGGGAAAAAGGGAAAGAAAAAAGGAAAGGAAAAAGGGAAAGTAAGAAGAGACTCTGTAACACTCCTCTCTTCCTACCTAGAGATTTCTGAGTCAAACACCTACTAAGGCTGGCACCTCACTGTAAATGCTGGGCTGCGGTTTACCTTGTGTCCTACATCAGAAATAAATACCCAGAGGCAGCAGCGTCCTGATATGATGTTCTTTTACCCTGCAGTGCCAGACCAGAGGTGGTCCTGACATGTAAAAAGTACCTATTTTACAAGAACGACCCTTTCCCCTACCACATCCCACCACCCAATTGCCTTCGCCCTGTGCTGGGATGTGTATTGAAAGAAGATGGTGAAAGATTTAATTTTCCTTTGGGAGATGCAATTACAGCAGAAATACTGCAGGAGAGGCACACTCTCAGACTCTGGCTTCTCAGTATCTCATTATTTATTACAAATGTAGCAAACATTGGGAGTCTACAACCAGCTTAAGAGTGCTCATAAATTAGAGGCTGTAGGACTACTTTGGGGGAGGGGGGGAAAGGAAAAGAAAGAAAATCGAGATCCAGGGTTGCAGACGTCTGCCTGGAGGCATGGGGGAAATAGGAGGCGGAGGGGAGATTCGGGGTGGGTTTCGATAATACAGACGTGGAGAGGAAACCTCCTCCCGCCCCCTCCTCAGGTGGGGCCATGGGACGGGTTCTGCCCTGGTGACAAACCCCGGTCCACTCCCCGTGAAGAAGGGAATTGAAAGGAAAAGGGAAAACGTGAGGTAATTGCTGGAAAATATCCTTAGGGGAAGAGAATCCCTTCTCTGCCTATAGACCCCTGGCCGGGTCTATAGGATAAGGGGTCCCTCCCACCGCCCCGCTGCGGGTCGGTGCGAGGCGCCCAGGAGGGACGGAGAGGAGAAGATGCTCCTTCCTCCTTCTCCTATTTCTTCTTCTCATTCTCCTCCCTTCCTGCCCCTGCAGTAAGGGCTCGCTCCCGCCCCGGAGGATCCCTCCAGAGGTTTTCTAACGCCACACTGGGACCCTCCAGGATACTACCTCCTGCCTGGGAAAAGCGGTGCCTTTCCCACCCCCGCCTCCACGCTCCCACCGGTGACGAAAAACCCTCGGGACGAGCCGGTGGGCTCCTAAGCTGGCTTCTGCCAGCCGAGGGGTCCATGTCCTCTTTCCACTTCAGTCAAAGACCCCTCCGCCAGGGACCCAGCAAAGCAATTCTTGCATCACCCCGCCCGGGCTGGTGCCGAAGGCGGGGCTGGGGAGGGGGGACACCCGAAACCAGAGCCAGCGGCTCCTCCCCGCCTGGCGCCAGCCTCCCTTCAAGGCTGCGCCATCGGGAGGTGGGGGCGGTGGCCCGAGGGGGCGGCCCGCTCCCTGGAAAGGTGGGCGCGTGCCTGTTCTGATGCCGGCTGCTCTCCCCTCCTGCAGGTACTGGGATGATTTCCACGCCTGCACCCTCACAGCGCTCACCGACTGCCAGGAAGGAGCGACAGACCTCTGGGAGAAACTGAGACGGGAATCCAAAAACCTCGATTTCCAAGGCAGCTTATTTGAACTGTGCGGAGGCGGCAGCGGCGCGGCACCGTCCCTCCTCCCGCCGGCCTTGCCCCTGCTCCTGGCGGCTCTGTGGGCCGCCCTAGTGACCTGGCTGCCTTTCTAGGGGGGCGAGCACACTCACACCCACACCCTCTCCATGTGCTGGATCTATAGAGGAAGTGTCCATCCGTTGCTTTGGGGACGTTGTGCTTTTCTGTGGTTGATGATGATGATGATGGTGGTGGTGGTGGCTGATGATGGTGAAACACCCATGTAGGACTGTGGAAGCGTTCTCCCTTTATTTTTTTGTGTTTTATTTGCCAAATGTTACCAAACAGGCAGCGGCGCGCAGCCCAAATCGGACCTCAGCTTTACTAACGCTTCGAATCAAAAATAGAAAAAAAATATAAAGAAACAAACTCGAGCCCTCGTTGCGCAAAAGCAATCTCAGGAACGGCTCTGGGCCACCTACTGCTAAGGCTGTAACCGGCCGGGTACCTCCCGGCGAGCCACGGGCTCCGCTAAAAATGTGGCAGTGTGCGAGGCGAGAACCAAAACCGCAGACAGAAAAAGGCACTGGCGAGAAATCCAAGGTAGATGTCCACGTGTGAAGCATATGGTGAATAATTCACAATCTCTCATCTTTCCTCCACAGTCGCTTGTTTTTTTTGGTCATTCCACTGCAAAAAATTTTAAAAAATAAATAAAAAAGAAAAATTTTCCTCAAGGGGAAAAGAAAGCGAGAGAGGGAGAGAAAGAGAGGGAAACGAACAGTTAAGAAAGGAAGGAAGGAGGAAGAGAAAGAAAGACGTGTCTAAATGCCCGGAGAAGTGAAGGAATGCTGCTAACATCTCTTGAGAGTTTACCTTTACTTGCTGTTCGAAGGCATCTTTCCGAATTCACTGCCTTTAATTTTTTCCTCCTCTTTGTTTTAGATGTTACACATACCAGTAAAATACCTGAATATCCAACCGTAGAGATCACAAAAAGGGGGCTTAAATGTAAACCTAAAGAAAAAAAACAAAAAACAAAAAAACACAACAGCAGCGAAATGATTTTGAAAAAAAAAAAAAAAGAGCCGTGATTTTAAAAGAGATAAAAATGTAATTTAAACAAAAGTTTATTATAAAGTCAATTCAGCAAAAAAATAACAAAAAAAGATTTGCTACAAAGTATAGACAGAAGTATAAAATAAAAATTATTGTTTGAAATGAGGGTGTCGTCCTTTTTATAAAATATGCCTAGAATATCTTGGAAAGGACAGGGCTTTTAAGGCAAGGAAGTCTCAATCCTGAACCCACCCCTTGACGAACATGGCAATTTCAGTTCAAACAAGGACAGGGTGGCTGAGTCGCTTAGTCGGAGCCTTTCTGCCTTTCTTTTTTTTTTTTTCCTTCCTTTCTTCCCCCCCCCCCCCCTTCATTTATTTGTTAAAAATACGCTATAATTCCTCCCACCTTCCTCCTCCTCTCGAAGCCGCGAAGCGCAGCACCCCAGTTTCCCAGCCGCCCGGGACTGGCGAAGGGAGCCCCCCGCAGAGGAGGGGGCGGGCGGCGCGGCTCTCCCGCGGGCGCGGAGCCGTGCGGAGCCCCGACGGAGGGAAGGCAGCAACCACCATTAAAGAGGAGGCTGCGGAGCCGGGGCCGGGGCGCAGAGGAGCCCTTTCATAATTAATAAGGCAGCTCAGCCGAAGGAGCAAGGGGAAGGGGGGGACGGGGTATTGATTTCGCAGCAGAAGCTGCTCTAACCTCGGCTATTTATAGGCGCCTGATGCCTTTATAAAGAAATACACATCAAAGAGTAAACACGTCCTTTTTACTTATAAAGCAAGAGCCCAGCTGGCGACCGGGGGTGGGTGGGTGGGTGAGTGGGTGATGGGGAGGTAGGGGCCACGAATTGGTGCGAGGTGATTTATTCCAGTGGGGAGCCGTTGCCTGTGCACTAGCTCTCTTTGCCGATGTGTAGGGTGGCAGGGTCTCTCCTTCGCCCCCTGTCCCTGCTCCCCTCCCTTCCCAAGGTCCGCAATGTAATGTGTAAGCAATAGCAAATGTAACAGTTCATAAATCAAACAGTGGGTCGCAAGCCAATCTGCATTTCCCAAACGGATTGAATCCCAGCAACGAATGTGCTCAAGAACTGGAGCCAGGCGCCTTTACCACTGGAAGCAATGTTGATTTTTTAATGATAAAATACATTATGCGCGTGTTAGGGGGGCTTTGCAGAGCTCAGCCTCGCTTCGGCAGACACAGGTCTGCTTGAATTTCGTTTTCCTTTGGCCTCCCTCTAGACTCAGTCCCCACCACCACCAAAGAAAAAGGAAAACCCTGGAGAGCAGAGCTTTGTTTAAATGGTTTGGGTTATTTTCCCTCCCCACAGAGGATCTAGACCTAAATTGATTTTTCTGTGCACATCTCTGTATTCATGAGGTCAGGCGCTGCTGTTATGGTTTCCCTGTAGCACGAAATGCCAGATGCCGAGGAGAGACGGAAGAGAGAGCCCTTGCTGGGGTACGGGGGGCTTGGCAGCCTGCTGTCTACGCCGGCTTGGGCCCCGGGGACCCCCGCCAGCGGCAGCCCCTCTCCGCCCCGGGGTTCCCGGGCGCAGGTCCCGCCCGCTGCCGGCATTCCCGCCGCCGCCCCCGCCTTCCCGGCTGCTGGACGGTGCCCATCCGTCGAAGAAAGGTGGAAGGGAACCTCCCAGCTTTCCATCTCACCCCTCAGAAGAAAGCTGAGGGGGCGTAATAAGGGGACGATTTCCAGCTCGTTAAAGGACTCGAGTTATCTTCGCGTGAGGTTCTATTACAAATGGATAATCTCTCCGTAATTAGCACATCCCCCAATTAGCCCTCCATCGAGGAGGATAATAAACGGTGGCAAACCGGGGAAAAATAGCCCAGTGGGTTGAGAAGAAGCCCTGTGGTCTTGCCCGGGTCCCTTCCCTCCCCTCCTGCCTTCCCCTGGACTCTCCTATCTGGGGCTTCTAATTTTCGGCTGCTCATCCCCGGGGCGCAGACCAGCCACCGGGCCTCCCGGGCTAACCTAGCAGCACACCGGGATTTCCTGCACAGACGGCAGGGAGTGTAGCCCCGGTCCCGCCGGCTCCGCTCCTCCTGGGCAACTGGCGAGCGAGGCACTCTCCGCCGGCAGCTCCGTGGTTTTTTTTCGGGGAACATAAGCAGAATGAACTCCCCCTCACCTTCCTCCCGTTCATTCTATAGAGCCCCTCAATGCGCGAGGCATTGGTTGTTCCCTTTTCTGCCCCTTCCAGGGTTATTTCTGAAGCCTGAGAGCAATGGTCGATTATATATATATATATATATTTTTTTTTCTGACCCTAGGAGCGGTTGCTCTGCCTTGCCTTGTTGTGTGGCCAAGGAAACATGAGCCGTCCGCCAAGTCCCAGAAAGGGACTGAGTGTACTGGATTTGCCTCCTGCCGCCTTGCACCTGTAGGGTTTGTAAGGGCTGCGGGGGAAGGCTGGGGCGTCGCTTGCCAGGCTGGTCCCACTGCCCCAGGCAGCAGCTGCTGTAGCAAGAGCTGGAAGAGGTTCAAACTTCTGAACATCCCTTCTTAACTCCTGGGCAAACGTGAGCTGGTGAACTGAAGAGGGGGGAAAAATGCAATAGAAAAGCGTTTAAATGTTGACAGAGACCACAGTAAAATTATCCCCTGCTTAAAAAAAAAAAAAAAATCACACACACACACACAAAAGGCATAAATGCAGATCAACAGGGAAAAAAATCACAGTCAGAACAAAAAACAAGACAAGAGCATTTCTAGCTGGCTGGATAATCGGAAGGCTTGCAGCCATTGCGGCTCTGCCTGCCCTAATTCCTGTCCCCAGCTCCGACTGAGCAACCGCAGCCCCGCAGTCCCCGGAGGGCCGCGGGGAGCTGGCTCCTTCCCCGGCAGCGCTGGATGCACCCGTGCTTGGCAGGCGGCTGCTCTCCTCCTGCCTCCCCCTTTTAGCAGCCTGGATGAGCCCTGAAGGCAGGGCTGAGCCTTGCCCCTGCCTGGGCTGCCCTCTGCCACGGCAAGACCGTGCCAGCACTGGGCTGAGGTGGTGGCGGTCGATTCTTTTTGCTTTAAAGGGAGGAAAAAAAAAAATAGGTCCTTTCCCATCTGTTCAAAGGCTGTAACAGGGAGATGGAGCTGGCCTGTGCTGGGAGAAAAAGCTTGAATACAAACATACAAAACTGAGGAAAACCTAGATATGAATGGTAGTGAAGGCAGAGTGATTGGTGCTTACAGAGGGAGCAGGGAGGTATGGTATAAAAGTAAGCTGCAGTACTCACTTCACAGGACTTTCTGGTGGCTATGTCTGTGTATTGGAAGAAGCAGTCAGATACTGTTGGTCCCTGGCTCATTTGCACAGTCTAGGGATGAATAGATTGGTGACTCTTCAAGCCCACTTCCTCTTCAGGGCCCTTTTAAAATCTGTGCAGCTGCTGTCCTGCCCAGTGAAACCCAGTAGATTCTGTGAAGGGCTGACAACCTAAGGAGAGAGACGCCAGTTCAGCCTTCCTATTCATCAGGGCTGATTCATTAATGATTAGTGCCATTAGGTCTACTACAGCAGTGCCTGAGGGCCCCAATTAAGGGAAAGTGAGCTTGTTAAATCCAGAAAGCCAGATTTTCCCTCTGTTACTCCTGCCTGATGCGGAGGTAGTGCCTCCAGGGTGGGCAGCAAGAATAACCCTGGCTTTCTAGGTATGCAGCCTCTGTACCTTTCCCCCTCCCTTCTTCCTCTTTTCTCTCTCTTTCACCTTAGCTGCAGATCCTGCTTACAGAGTGCTGTAGAGTGAGGCTAGTGCAGGAGTTGGCTAGCAGGACTTGCAGGAGGAGGTGTCAAATCAGGTTATTTTCCTGAGCCACTTCTTTTTTCATCACAAGTGGGTTTGGGTGGGTTTTTTTGGTTTATTGAGATTTTTTTGTGGCTTTTTTTTTTGGCAGGGTTGGGGGCAGGCAAAGTGATGGGGACTGCAGAGGAGTCTGTTACAAAATCAGATACGATTTTAGCTGTCTGAAAGAGTTCCTTTAGGCTACAGGCAGCTGATGATCAATGGTGCTGTTGGCAAATGTGCTTCCAGCTGGCTGCTGCCTCTCTTGAGGGACAGTTTTAACCCCAAGGCTCATTGCAATGGTGATACGGCAAGGGGCTTTCATTTGCTTTGGGCTAAGGATCTTCTGCTGCCCAGTTCAACCAGTGAGAAGAAAAACTGGAGGTGATGTAGGAGAGTGACAACAGCACTATTATTGGTGAGTTACTGGCTGTTCCTTTCCCCTCGAATTCCCACGGTGGGTCTGTATTAAAAGGTTTTGCTCAAAGCCCCATACTCTTAAACTGTGGGTTTGCTAACAGATGGACAGACTGCGCTAGCAAAGGGCTTTGCCTTTCAGGAGGTACTGAAGAAACAGGTTTAAGTGGATCGAATTATCAGAAACCCAGCCTGTGGCCTGTGCCCTAGCTTTTTAGGCTTTATTGTTTGTTTTATTTTGTTTGTTTGTTTGTTTGCTTATCTCCAAAGCTGATATAAAAGAAAGACGGAAAGAAAGAAAAAAAGAAAGAAAGCCTCCCGAAGGTCAAGGTGAGACTGACCATCATCTGAGTGCTGGTATTCACCAACAGCAATAAACCCCTGTCCCCAGGTGCTGGAAGTCTCTTCAGAAAAAACCCCACAACATTACTGCAGGGGCAAACAACTCATCCTGACCTTTACACAGCCATTCTTTGGGAAAAAGTATCACCTGAAGTCAATATGCATTCTGCCTAGGTAAGGATTTTGTATGCTCAGTTTTACCTCAAACAGGAATGTTATTCAAATATAAACTCCAGGTTCATGCCACCAAAATACGAAGTGCTTGTGTGTGTATCATGCTTTGCACCTTCAGGTTTCTTGCCTATGATATCAATTTATTAAGGACTGTGAAAAACTTACTAAATCTCTGAAGCATCAAAGATCAAATCTGCAGGCACTTTTTTTGCTGTGAAGCAGCCTCAAGAATGGATGGGCAGTGCATCCTTTAATATCACTGGACTACCACTAATTTTTTAACACTTTGGAAATTATTGGATATTCAAATTAATGGAGGGAACAAAATAACCAAACCTCAGTCAACCAAACGAGGAAAAGAAAAAAAAAGAAAAGAGACATAAGAAAGCATAAGAAAGAAGTAATCACTTATATTGATAGGAGTTGTTTTAATCAGATTTATCCCACCTTAAACCATCTGTTTTGCTGCAGACACTGTCAGTAAGTTTCCTTTAGGTACATGGTCTAATTCTGCCAAATGCACCTCTTCAAGAGGTAAACCATGTGTCTAGTATAGCATCTCTCTTTGCCAGAATTTCTATTCGTAGTATCTTAAGTACAAGAAGTTTTGAAGTAAATTGCCAGTTTGGTATTTATGCTTCTTTTAATGCATTGTGTTTTGACTGGATAGTGTAGGAGGTTTTTTTCCTTTGCTGTGCTCCCTTGGGGCACTTTCAATTTTCCAGTCCCCTGGCACAAGCTGCTTTTTGCAAAGGAACAATTCCTGTAAAGCCACTGCCTCGTTTTGTTTCCCATATTCTAAGAAATTCTTAAATTATGTTGTCAAATAAAAAATCCAGAACATATTTTGTTAGCATGGAACATTGGTCACATTAGTTTCACAACGCCTCATTGAAGGATCCAATATGTCAGAAAATTGTCCTAAGCTTTGCTTTTTATTGAGGCTTAATAGGTGCCCTTGTCCCTTTTACTAGACCTGTGATGCAAGACTTGGTTTTATTCTGTTACTAAGACATTTCGTTTGATCTCTTTCACCTTTACTCCTAGTGTCTATTAAATGGGAGTAGCACTTTGAGACATTTGGTGGGTGAAAAATGCGACATGAGGAGGTAGGCATTATTAATTAGAACAATCATTTTATCTTTTAGCTTTCTTCAGAAGAAAAATGCCTGGATTGAAGTGATAACAACAAATAATAGGTAAAGAATGCTCCCCTATGGCTTCATAGATCTGCTATGTAACAGAAAACATTCAGCCCTGGGTGCCCAAGAGTTGTGGTTCACATCTCCCTCTGAAGAAGCCTCATCTTAAAGGATGTTGTAGCATACCACACTAATGCAGATGCTGCTCTGCAGGCATTTCTGGCTGTGAATTTCAGGCTGTGCCCTTGGCTAAGCTGTCGAGGACAAGTTGCAATACCTGTCCTTCTTGAAGAGATTCCAGTCCATTTTCAGCCATGTCTCTCACTGCTTGCAAGCTCCTTGTTTTGCTGTGCATCAAAGGTTCATTTAATTACTTTCCCTCTCTTTTCTTTAGGTGTTGGTGATTTGCACTCTCTCCAACTAAATCAGGTATCTGGCACATCAATACTTAGAAGGCTTAGGAGAAGAGGAAAACATCAATATTTCACTGAACACATGAAGTCACACAGCTCCCCAGAACTCCCAGTCTCCATTTTAATGTCCACTGTGGCTAGTTTGTTTTGTTTTTTGTTTTGTTTTGTTTTGTTTTCTGTCAGATGACTGATTTCAGTTTCTCTCTGAATCCCACCTGTGTGAATAGCTTGTTTTTCTCCCTAGCAAGTGTTAACAAGGAACTGCAAGGGTTTTGTTCAGGCTCACCAGTCAGGCAGCCCTGAGGTGGCTGACTTCTAGGAAAAGCCACAGCAGGAACAAGCCAGAGCCAGCCTACGCACCAGACACAGCTTTTGCTGGTCTTTAGTTTATGTTCCAGCTCCTGCTCGAGTTAAACGGATCGCCGTTAGCAACTGTAATACAGACAAACACAAGGAAGAACAAGCTGGACGCTTCATTGTGGAGCTGCGCTTGGAAGTGATGGCCCATTGTAACGCAGACTCACCCACCACAGTGGAGCTGAGCCAGCTCATGGCAATTTAGGACTTGCTCCTCTCTTTTTACTCCATGCTCTGAAGTTCCCGGTCTCATCCTTTGTGTGAACTGGATCATGCAAATGGGGGCACTGAAGTCACAGGGAAGTTGAGCAGAGTTCTGCATGAGCACTGGCATGAGAAGGAGCAGCAATTAGCTCTAAACTCACTCTGCTGGCCTGTCATTTCTGAGCTCTACCCCTGCTGCTCTATAACTGGAAGACTTTCACTCTAGAAGATGGGGAGAAGAACATTTTACTCATGCTCATATTAATCAAGTCATCTTATGAGCTGCTGAATCTGTGAAATTGTATCTCCTGTGGAGTTCAGTGGTAATGACTGTCTCTGATGTGGACTCTCTGGTGTCTAATAATACAGTTTTGTTTCTGCAGTGGATGCACTCCCAGAATTTTTTCTCCTCTGCCTGCCTACTTCCACAGCACATGTAGGCTGCTGAAACCTCTGAGACTTCTATCCCCTGTCAAGTTTGATCAAACTCAGCTCACAGGCTCAAAAAATTATTTAGGAGGGACCGACTGGCACTTGCACAAGACAGTGTGATCTCATAAGCTTCCTTTGCTTGGGAAACTAGGCTACCAGCCTAGCAACAGGGGGAAAAAATGCCATCCTGCTAGAAAAAAGGACCTAAACACTGGGAGGAAAGAGGGGAGGTGGGAAAGTGAAGCTGTTTTGAAGGGAAAAAAATAACTGCCTTGTGGATACAGAGTTCTCATACACTTAAAGGGCCAACCTTGGAGACACATGCTGGAGAAAATATTCTCCAGGAGATGATAAGCTCTCTTGTGAAAATTGGTAAGGGAGAGAAATCACATGGACTCATCTCACCACCAGGCATGCTAAATGGATATCTGTATGGTAAAGATTGTCCCCAGTGGTATCTGTTTCCCTCTGTGGACTAGAGGAAGCCACAGACACAGCTAGCATGCAACTCATGTACCTGCAGTATCTAAAACAAGGTGGATCCTATCCCAAAGGGAATGGTCTTCTTACCGCTATGTCCTTCAGACCAAAGTTTTCCATGGTGCTGCTGCAGGTTTTGTTACTTCATGTACTACATTTGTATGTTAGAAAAGCTGCTTTGTGTCTTAATAGCTGCAGATGTATGCATGGTTTTACTGGGCATTTATTAGCACTTACCCTCTTTGCACTAAAACCTTTCTTGTCCTTGTACCTTATGGAATAAAATTCTTTAAGTGAGCTTTAATGATTCTATGATTCTGCTTCTTTACAAATTAGGAGCTGTCTCATCCTGCTTTTATTTGCTATCACATAATGCTTGAGGCTGTCAAAAGTATTATGGTACATACTCATATAAATTGATATTTAATTTCAGTAATTATAATGTCACTAATTGTATTTTTGCACCTGTTGCAATTACTGACATTCAGCTCTTTAGCTCTACTTTGTTCTTTCTAGATTTAGGCATTCCTTACTCTTTAATCTTCCCTGCCTATGGTAAATCGTATGCACAATGAGACTTGGAAATGAAAGTTCAGACATTCCCATCAATTGCTGTGTGCCAAATGCATGGGATAGTTTAAAACTATGTGTGTACCTACTGCAGGATATGCTTAAAGCGCCATTGCCTATTTATATGTCTTTTTTTATGAGGCTTAGAGGCGATTGTGTTATCCAAATATTGCACAGTTCTTAACTACTTGTACTGGCCCATTGCTAAAGGTTTTCCAGTTTTTAGGGGCCTTTTTTGGCTTGTGGCCTTTCACTTAAAATTGCACCAGGGCTGCTCTGGCAGCCCCTTGCACCTGTTTTTTTCTTAGTACTCTCTTCCTCATAGCCTTGCACTGGTGCATTTGTTACGTTGTATTCCCTGGAAAAGGATTTGCTTCCTATACCTCAGCCATCCTCTTGTCCTCTTGCCTCTATCTCATTGCATTGCTCTTGAGTTATATATAATTCATAGTCCGCACTGAAGTTCCCACACAGTCTCCACTTGGTGCCTTCATACCAGTGAATTCATATTAGAACAAATATTACATATAATGAGTAAATAATAGTAATTTTAATGTAGGATAAGCAATACCTAATTACAGACGGGTACAAGGCTTATCAGCCAATTAACACGCAACTTTTGTACTTAATTAAGCATAATCCAGTCAGTGCCACTGTTGTCATCAGACAAAGATCATGGAAAGGCAACTTGAGCAGGCTTTAATGAAGGGTGTAATTTTACTAGGGAGTGGTTGTCGGTAGGACTGTGATCCCCTGCTGCACTGGAGCAGACACCCAGGAGAGGATGGTCACCTGAGGACTCCTGACTTCATCTCGTCTTGGTTTGCTACAGTTTTCCTTTTAACCTTGAACTTGATGTATACCATCAGCTACAAAACCCATGAATAAAGCTTGTGCTTTGTGTCTTTCAACCTGCCTCAACTTTCCTTGCGTTATAACACAAAATAAAAAAATCATTTGGGCCATGGAATTCCTGCTCTGTACCAGCAGAGTTTGAGGACAGTGATCCCTCTTCTTAAAGATGCCATTGGTCTCTAGGTTATAGTCCACACAGAAATTTGTTTTGGTTCAATTTCATTAATAGAAAACCTTTAGTGGGCACTACATCTCTATTATTATTGCCACATGTCAATATTATTGCCATCTATTATTTCACTTTAGGAGTGGCTTTTATTATTCTAGCTTTGAAAACTGTCCCCAGCTGTTTTAAATTAAACCAACATAAATTTCATTTAACCTGAAGGGAATGACTGCTGCCCAGACATTTGCCATGTTTCTCTGCTGCTAGCACTACATGGTGCTGCAAGATTTCACTTCCTATGACAGAGCCATGGCTGCATCCAGGCTGGACTGTCCATGTGGTAAGGAGGACTGACTTCACTCAGTTTTGCTGTTTGAGCTCATCTGTAAAAACAAGCCCTTTGACTGAGTGACCAAATTCACTGCTTGCTACAAATGTATGTACTTTATAGACCATAACATAGTGGTGGGGCCTGAGCAGGGTGCCCAGTGGGTGATGGGGTACTATGGCAATAGACAGGTATAATGCAAACTGCTGCTTGTACAGTTTGTTGCATAAACCTTTATGCTCTTTGGAGCAAAGACCTGGAGGTCTGCAGAGATGCTATCTTGAAAAAAATTAGCCTAAGACAACAACAGAAGTTAATTTGCACTGAAGTGTCTGGAGAACTCAACCTTCACAAGTTAAGTAACTTAAAAAAGGACCTACAGCCCTTAAATCAGTCATATCTGAACAAAAAAATTACATCAAGACACTCTCTACCCAAGTATCCCAAGCAGTGTCTCCACAACAGGCATCCATGTGGCCACGAGAAACATGGCTTATATCTAGTGATTTAAAAATCACCAGCGAGGTGCTTCTATACATCCTCAGCCTTTCTTGCTGCACTTTCTTCTTCACTGTTAAAGATATCTTTCTCCTAACCTCAAACCGAATTTTCCAGCTTTAGAAACGTCTATGAACAGGTTGGCTAAACGACTATCAGGAATGACACAGGTCACACATGGGCATCATGTGGACCTCTCCAACCCTTTTTTGTGGTTTTCTAGGATTCCAATGTGATAAATGAACAACCTCAGGAAATACTTGCTCTTTTAAAATATTTTCTTTTTGCAGAACATATTCTTTTGATTAAAAAAACCCAACATTATTTGGTCATCAATCATTACCATGTTTGCTGACCAGCTTTTCTGAAGTCTCACTAGGGTAAAGACTTGCTAACAAATACATGAGGTTACTCTTGCCTCTTTTTAGCTCCTGGCCTGGGCAGAAGGAAAACCTTCTCAATTAAATCCACTGTGTCCTCCTCTACCATGGCCTTTTTGCAGAACCTTTCCTCAGCAGCTTTGTAAATTATATTCCCCTCACCAACCATGACTGTGGTCAGCTGAGACCTCCAAATGTCAAACTCAGTAGTAGGAGTAGTGTCCCTTCACGGCACCTCCTGGAGAGCTGATAGACTACCAGCAAAAGGAGCAGATTATAAGGCAGTGGAGCTTTAGTATTTTTACACTGTGACAAGGAAACTTTTGTATCTTAGGTTACTTATAGAAGCTGCTTCAGAGGACAAAGGTGTAGGAGGAAACATAGTCAAGAGGAAAAGGCTTACCCTGAATATTTCCATTCAGTGTACAGGAAAGCTACTTGGTGACATGCAGAGGTTTGCCCCAATTTTCTGTGTAAACAGCACTTGGCTTTAGCATGTGGACTTAGCACCTTGTTTGGAGGAGCTGGGGTCAAAATTGACCTGCATGTACTCTGCATTTGGCACTGAGAAAATTTGGCACCTCCCTGAGGGCTATGGAGCCCTGAGATAGAGCCTTAAAAATGTATTTAAAGGTCAGGCAGCAGCTTTGGCTACTCATTTTAGCTTTTTTCCTCTGACATGTTCCTAAAATGGGCTTAGACTGTGAAGGCAGCTCTTAAAGAGTACAGTGTGAACATAATCTTTTATGATCATAAAAGCGGAGTTTCAGGTCTCGTAGTTTTTGAGAAATATAGCTCTGGAAGAGAAATTTAGAGCAAAAAAATACACTGACTGCAGCTGGGACTGCTGCATTTGGTAATGGAGATGATCATGTGGAATCTGCCTGAGTAATATGGAGAATATGCCCCATGTATTATTTTCCAGGTCAGTGAAGTTGTAAAAACTAGATGCAACCATCAGAAAGTTTCCTTCAGTCTATGCCTGGTGGCAACTTTGAGTGCCTCTAGACTTGATTTTCAGAAGTTCCAGATTGTCTCAGTTTCCAGTGTAATCAAGTGGAACTGTGTCTGCTGATCTTCAAGCTTAAGCACAGCTTGAGTTATAGACTTCAAGACTCTAATGAAATATTTTGTTCTTAACCTGCTGTGCAGATATGGGTTAGCTGTAGCTTTGGGTCCCCTGTCTTAACTGCCTCAGGGTTGGATTGATGGGAAAGTTGTTTCTAAAAGAAAACAAAAATTATTGGTTACGTAGAAAAGTGTGGAAACAGGCCATTTTCAGTGTGTTTTTTGCTGTATCCCACCACTTTTACCTGTCCTCCCTGAAAGGCAGGCTTGGTTGTATGCACTTGTATAGTCTGAAACTAGTTTTTGTTCACAGACTTAGCCAGACTCCCTTAGGTAATGTTAATTCACTTGTATCGCCAGGCAAATTCTGACACAGCTCATCAGCAGGAGGAGGGGCTTGTCCTGAATCTCCTGTGAGATCAGCTGATGGAGCAGTGTTAGATAATGCAAGTCCCCAGGTAAGATGCAGGGTTGCAGATTATTCCTCAGTAAGTTTCTCTTTATATTATACCCGCACTTCTCACTCCGTCTGCCAAAACTTTTGTGCCAACCAGTCTCTGGAGCCCCCCTCCTCTTGCATGCTCAGGTCCCGAGGACAGGCTGAACCCAAGTGACAGATCCAGTGAGGTGTGGTGTGAGCTGCAGGGCAGGAACAACACTCACACAGTTACCTTCTGCCAGCTGCCCTCTGGAAGCAGCTTCCTTGCTGGATCCCACCCCACAGCACATGCGAAAGAGAGACTCACTGGTGCTGCAGGGTAGGAGCTGGCAACGTGGACACTCCCAGACCCACGCCCAGCTGACGCCAGCCTGGGTGGGACGAGCCTGTGTGTGTCCCCGGCAAGCACAGAGCCCAACCTGGCACTACCTTCTGGAAGCATCCGCTTTTCTCTTACCACTGACCAGGAAGTCTCTGTAACCATTTCTGTAGATACCTGTGATGGCCCAGGAACAAAGTGGCCAGAGATGGCCTGCAAGCATGAATAGTTCCCACAGGTGTTTTAGTCTTGTCAAGGGTATGGTGTTTTTCCAGTCCTGCATATAAATTAAGAGAGCAGAGACCTAATTACCTCACAACATTCCTTAGAATGATAGTAGTTTTTTAAGTGTTTTAGATTAGGCTAAGGGCATGAAAAAATAGAGAAGAAAGCCAAATCTTGAGCTTTTGTGGTTTTGTTTTTGGTTTTTTTTCCCCAGGACTACCTTGCTGAAGGATGCCTGAGGAATGCCTGGAGCCCTTGGCTGCAGGAAGGGGGCAAAAAGAGGTGAACTGCTTTGCCTATCGAGTATGAGGTTATGCAATGATAAATTCTCCCAGATGACTTGTCAAGTGCCTCTGCTGAGCAGGGACAAGTACAGAATAAGGGCAGCATCACTCAATAAAATTTGCAAAACTGAAAGACGAGAAGAGAGCATTTGCAACCCACAAAATGTCCCTTCATAGCTTTGTTGCCTGACAACTTGGCCGAGCAGCAATAACGTCACCTGTCACAGACTCTTGTGGACAAGTCTCATCTAGCTCTGGGCTTTCATTTGCAGCTGGAACATTTTGTCAGATGTCTTTTAATTTACTTGGCTGCTCAACAGGCAAACACACTAGACTGTATTCTTACCCATCCTTTAGCAAAGCAGATAGCTCAACTAATATTAATGTTTTAAGGTAACTGCTGCTTCCTTATTGCATACCATGGTAGAGACTTCAACATGTACAATATTAATTGAAATCATCCATAGGAGATTTAGCAGAGCTCACCTCAAATGCTCTCCAACCACTGGCAAGGGCAGCCAGAGCCCTCAGGGAGAGGTTCAAGTGAGTGTGGCTGATTCACCTACATCATGCCTCTATGTTGTTTCCAGTCATCTATTCCTGATTAATACTCTGTGTGAATGCTGTTTCTGCAAAATCAGAGTACATTGTTCCTGCTTAATTCAACCTTCGAACTGCTTTTAAGAAATGGCAACGACACTTTATATTTGCATCTCACCTTAATCAGTGCTAACTTGCAAGTGCGGGCAAGTCCTGGGGTACGTGATTCATTATCTTAGAGGAGCAAGAGCAATGTAATGAATATGCTGAGTGATCTAAGGCAGGATCTTTTATCCAGCCATCTCATGGAGGGGATCTGAAATGAATTTTGCCTTGGAGAGCTTTTGGGAAAGAAATGGCATAGTTTTCTTCACTTGATCAGTTAAAAAAAAAAAAAAAAAGGAAAGAAACCAAAGAAAATCAAACCAGCATTTTAATGGGACACACTCTTTGCATTGTTCTTGCAGAATAAAATGGGGAAAATACCTTTTCACTCTCATGTAGATTGCCACCTACAGATGTTGCTTACTGTAGAGGGTTGCCTGTTTTCATGGCATCCGTATCAATGGCAGGAGCACTTATGGACAGCAGACATCCCTCAGATGTGGGAGGAGGAATATTGCCAAGTTACCTGGGCTCTCATCAGTCACACTGAAGATGGGCAGTTAGTCATTCACTCATGTGAAGTAAATTGTCCTGGACCAAATCTCTCATTTGTCCAGTGACAGACAAGCACCCAGATGAAACTGGTATTTCTGGGAAGACAAAAGGAGATGTTCCTTACCAAGTGTGTATATGTGTGACTTGGC